TATTGTTCAATTGAGAGATTATCTTGACTATAATTACTCATGTCAAATTCCAATTGAAAGCATCTTGCAATATTCTTGCAATATTATTTTGATTGTAGACGCGCTTCAAGTATTCCCACATTTTTTTAACAGTGTCTATAAATTATTCACCATATGAACCTCAATAGATCTCAAAATCCAAGAGACGATCCGAGCATCTTTTGCCTCACATTAGCCAAGTACTTTCGACTCTGAGGGTGCTGGAGAAGACGCATCAATATACCCCCAAAGCTCATTCCTTTTCAAAAATATCTTGAACTGAAATTTCCATGCTACATAATTCTTTCCCGTAATTCTGATAGATAAAATTTCATGTGATTTCTCAGAAGACATTCTTGCGAAGACCAGAAGGCTGGGGATTGGGTTGCCGAATAGAGATCGGGGAAGCCGTCACGAAGAAGCAGCGAGATTGGGTTGCTCGGGTTGCTGAATAGAGATAGGGATTGGGTTGCTCGGGATCAGGTTCGAGTCCACGGGAAGACGTCACGAAGAAGCGAATTCTCATAAAGAGGAAACTTTAAAGTATTTTGTTCTCAATCGTTTGTTTTGACTTCTTTCATGGGCTTCTCATAAAGAGGAGACTTTAAAGAATGTTTGATCATATGAACCTCAATAGATCCCATTATGTAAAGCAAGGAACTCTTCTGACATTGCTCGGCGCCTTGCACTTTTCAGTTAGAAACCTTCAACTTATATTTAGTCATCTTCAATCTATGATGTGGAGTTTTCATTAAAAATTTAAATTGTTTATAAGATAATTTATTGAGCAATTCACCATTAGGAAAATAGAAATACTTGTTTTTTAGGCATAAATTTTACTGTAGTATTGAGAGTCTTGGCCATTTCATTTCCCTTATTAACTAAAAGATTAATAACTAATTCAATAAGCTTATAAGATGTAAAGATTACCAAATTCATTTTCTAAATTCTTCAAGAATCTCTTCATAAAAATGTAGTCTGTATTAATATTTTCCTCCTAGTCAGTGTTGATTGAATCTAAATTTAATAGGTTTAATAAGCACATCTCTCCTAGAAAACTATTCAGTGTTGATTGAATCTAAATTTAATAGGTTTAATAAGCACATCACTCCTAGAAAGTTTTAGAGGCATTTAGGTTATCAATTATCTTTTGAACTTCAGCCAGGACATTTAAATTATCTTCCGTAGGCATTATTCTTTCATTGAATTTCAACAATAATTTTATTTCTCGGTTCTCATCTTCATTTTTATTTTTGGATACTAACCCTTCTTAACAAAGGATATCTTAGACCAGTTTTATTCTCTCGACTTCCCATAGCAAATTCAGTTACATAAACCTTTGAGCCAACACGAAAATCAGCCTTCTTCGATATCACTAATTCTAAATAACGGAATTAGAAGCACTTTGTTCCCCTTTTAAACAAGTAACCTGTCACCTGTTCAACAGTGCTACCAATAAGAGCCTTATTCAGTGTTTTTTCGAATTCTGAAATTCTAGTTTATATTTATTGCTTAGAAACGCTTAGGTTTAAACTCCCACTTCTTGCTTCGCCAACCTTTTCTTCCCTTTCATGTAACAAATGAAGAAGGGTGCAATCTCTTCATGTTTCTATAAGAAAAGAAATCCGAAACAAGAGAATTAAAAATTGGAGGTGAGATTATTTGAAGAGGATGAATAGTCACAATGATTTGATTTGAAATTTTATATAAATTTACTGAGTTTTTAAGATGAAAGGGAAATGTAATTCAAGTCAAGATCTTGCATTACGTTAGAGCCCTCCCAACTGTAACTTTAAAGAGGCGCTGTTACAAATACTTTTGCCCATTTGAATTCCAATCAAAATTTGTATTTGATTCATGAAAAACAAATCTGCCTAGGTTTCTTTGTATCCATTTATATTTCCCATCAATAAATTGCATTCATTTAAGCTAGTCGTTATTGATCAACATTCAAAACAAGGTGACCGATTGGGCATTGATGTTAGTTTATTCATCCTAGGATCCCTTCATTTAGTGGATGTATATATTTTTCTTAGACCCAATATACATGGCAGTAACCGTGGCATGTTTCTAGGCTGTATTTCTATTAACTTTGTTGTAAAATCATTTTGATTAAGCTCTTTACATTTTCCTTTCAGGTAGCAGACCCCACTTAGTTGGATAAATGCTTCTTGTGATTGTTGTTGTCCTTACATTTCCCTTGCAATACTCTTTTGATACGTTCCTTGAAAATAGATCATATATATATATATATATATATATATATATATATATATATATATATATATATCTGGTATTTTCAAGGAACGTATCAAAAGAGTATTGCAAGGGAAATGTAAGGACAACAACAATCACAAGAAGCATTTATCCAACTAAGTGGGGTCTGCTACCTGAAAGGAAAATGTAAAGAGCTTAATCAAAATGATTTTACAACAAAGTTAATAGAAATACAGCCTAGAAACATGCCACGGTTACTGCCATGTCTATTGGGTCTAAGAAAAATATATACATCCACTAAATGAAGGGAAATGCCATTTCTAGGCAGACCCCACTTAATAGAAATGTATTTCTATTAACTTTGTTGTAAAATCATTTTGATTAAGCTCTTTACATTTTCCTTTCAGGTAGCAGACCCCACTTAGTTGGATAAATGCTTCTTGTGATTGTTGTTGTCCTTACATTTCCCTTGCAATACTCTTTTGATACGTTCCTTGAAAATAGATCATATATATATATATATATATATATATATATATATATATATATATATATATATCTGG